TGTCCCCTGTCCCCCCTGGTGTCCCCGTGTCCCCTGCCACCCCCGGTGTCCCCGTGTCACCTCGTTCTCGTGGGGGCTGCCGATGACGTAGAAGTAGAGGTCGATGCTGCTCCTGTAGACCACGGTGAGGCCCTCGAGCAGCGCGATCTCGCCTGGGGACAGGGGACAGCGTCACCGCGCGGGGACACAGCCTGGGGACATGCGGGGACACGCGGGGACACCGGGGGGACACCTGGAGATGCCCTGGGGACACGTGATGACACACAGGGACACCCTGGGGACACGCAGGGACACACGGGGACACCCTGGGGACACCCTGGGGACATGCGGGGACACGTGGGGACACGCCAGGACACCGGGGGGACACCCTGGGGGCACCTGGAGATGCCCTGGGGACACATGATGACACGCAGGGACACCCTGGGGACACGCAGGGACACACGGGGACACCCTGGGGACATGTGGAGACGCATGGGGATGCTCTGGGGACATGCGGGGACACATGGGGACACGCGGGGACACCCTAGGGACACACAGGGACACCCTGAAGACATGTGGACATGCATGGGGATGCCCTGGGGACATGTGAGGACACGTGGGGACACCCTGGGGACACGTGGCAATGAGTGGGGGTGCCCTGAGGACACACGTGTCACGTGGGGATGCCCTGGGACACCCTGGTGACATGTGGGGACACCCTGGGGACACGTGGGGATGCATGGAGATGCCCTGGGGACACCCTGGGGACACGTGAGGACACGTGGGGACACCCTGGGGACACGTGGCAATGAGCGGGGACGCCCTGGGCACACGCGTGTCACGTGGGGATGCCCTGAGGACACATGGGGACACATGGGGATGCCCTGGGACACCCTGGTGACATGCAGGGACACCCTGGGGACATGTGGGGACGTGTGGGTGGCCGCGGGGACGCGCGTGTCACTCACTGTCGCTGCGGTGGGTCTTGGCGAAGATGCTCTTCTCGAAGGCCCTCTGCTCCTTGGCGCCCGGGTAGGTGTCATCGTAGTACTGGGGACAGCAGGGACAGTGTGGGGACACCAGGGACAGTGACGCGTCACCCCCGTGTCCCCAGGGATCTCCGTGTCCCAGGTGCCATCCCTGCCCTGGGACAAGGAATGGGCCACCCCCGCGTCCCCGAAGGTGGCCCCACGTCTGCCCTATCCCTGTTTTGTGCCACCAAATGTGTCCCCATGTCCTGGACCCCCAACCGTGTCCCCGTGTCCTGGCCTTGTGCCATCGCGTCCAACAAGTGGCACTGATTGGGTCCCCACGTCCCCATGTGTGTCCCGCAGGCAGTGCCACCATGTCCCCCCTGTAGGTGCCACCATGTCCCGTGGGGGCAGTGCCATCGTGTCCCCCCCTAAGATGCCACCATGTCCCCACTCTAGGTGCCACCACGTCCCGTGGGGGCAGTGCCATCGTGTCCCCCCCTAAGATGCCACCATGTCCCCACTCTAGGTGCCACCACGTCCCGTGGGGGCAGTGCCATCGTGTCCCCCCCTAAGATGCCACCATGTCCCCACTCTAGGTGCCACCACGTCCCCTCGTAGGTGCCACCATATCCCCATGCTAGGAGCCATCGTGTCCCCCCCATAGGTGCCACTGCGTCCCCCTGTAGGTGCCACCACATCATCCCCCACAGGTGCCACTGTGTCCCCTGGGGGCTGTGCCATCATGTCCCCCCATAGGTGCCACCGTGTCCCCCTGTAGGTGCCACCAGGTCCCTCCTGTTTGTGCC